GAAAGCAAACCTCCTGGAACTCGAACAGCTTCCCAGAGAACCGAAAGCTTGAGATGGCGACACTTGAGAGGCGAGATAACGCTGCTCTCTCTTCTTATTTTTCCTGAAACTGTGTGGTGATAAAAATCAGGGCAATCAAGACTTTTAGGGCTCGTTTACTTTGAGGAATGGGATAAGACTAAATAATCGGGTTACCTTTACATGTCAGCATTTAATCCCATGTTTACTTTGAGGGATGGGATAAGACTATGTGGTGTTTAGTAATTAAATCAACTTTGAGGGGTACAATGGTCCATTTGCATCCAGTTTTGAGGACAAAAAAGTCTTGAACAGTGCATGATTAATTAATCACCTCTTCTTGGTGGGATGAAAATAATCGGCCAACACATTATTTCAACGTGGGCCCCGTCGCCACATGTGATTCCAACTCATATAATCATGTCCCAATCAATTAACGTAAACAAGGGATATTGAGGGACAATTCATCTTATCAATCTAATCCCTCAAAGTAAACGAGCCCTTAATAAAAAGCTGAATCCAGAACACTGCTAATTAAAAGCAGCGTCTTTTAATTTGGTTGTTGGACACAAAAAAGTTATGTGTAACAATTATTTACCAAACCCTTTTTTTAGCTGATTAACAAAGTCAAACAGTTAAATTGATGAAAAAGTTATTTTGAGAGCAAAAAGCTCAAAAATAAACGGGTTTGTGTCTAGGCGTCTAGCCTCATACCCAATATTTAATATGCCTATCATAACAACCACGAAAGTTATGTACAAAAATGATTTCATCATAACATGATTCTAACGGGTTCTTTTATATCTTTAATATCCCTTTTAATATAGTGCTTTAGTTAGAATATCAGCAGGTTGTTCTCTTGCTAGAATGTAGTGGATTTATATCAGTTTTTGTGAAATTTTCTCTATAATTAGATGACAATCTATGTGGATGTGCTTGGTTTTTTTCATGAAAAACTGGATTTGTTGCAATGGCTAATGCAAATTTACTATCTGAAAAATTAGAAACTAGAGTTGAGTGAGTTATATTGAAGTCCTATAACAGATAAAGTAGCTTCTGGACTTCACAAACTATAGAAGCCAAAGCTCTGTATTCTGGCTCAATAGATGATCTGTTTATGGTAGACTGCTTTTTAGATTTCCAAAAAATCAAGGAGTTTCCAAGAAAAATTATGTACCCTGTGTTACTTTTTCTAAAATCTAAACAACTACCCCAATCACTGTCAAAATAAGAAATAAGAGAAGTAGGGGACTATCTAGAAAATAATATACCTTTATACCTTTCACATACCTTTGAATTATGTGTGCAGCTGCTAGATGATGAGATGAAGGTTTGGCAACAAACTGACTAAAAGTTTGTACACTATAAGCTATGTCAGGTCTAGAAATCTCTATATATATAAAAATGTTTGATTATTTTTTAAATAGTAACTATTTTCCTTCAAAAAAAATTATTTACTATTTCGGAAAATTAATTTAACAATTTATGGTATATTTTAAATGATCAAATATGGTAATTGCGACTCATTATTTAAAGAAGTAATTAAGCCATATTTTAAGATACCTTAATTACTCAAATCATGTGAATTAATTAATATATATTTTTTTTTTTACAGAACGATAGAGATATTATATAAAACGCACAAATGTGCAAAAAGCAGCCACCAGCTGATTACAAAACAGCCAACAGCTGAATACAAACAGCCAATAGCTAAAAAGTGGGAGGACAGGACAACAGCCCGCCTAGAACCGACCGCAACGGGGTAAAACTTAAGAACACTAAAAAACACAATAAAAACAACAACACAAAGGCCCCAATAGGGTACAGGGTAATAAAGGTGATACTCGGACGCACAGAAGCCAACGGCCCAGACCTAAAACACAAATACGACACGGACACAGATACGAAAACACAAACATAGACAACACAAAACAGACAAAAACACAATCTAAAAAGAACAACAAAACATCTAATGACGACACTTAGTGCTCTTCCCCAGCAAATAAAGCAGATCGAACCAGTAGAGAACCAATCAATCCAAGAAAGGTCCGAAGCCCGAGGCCCAACTTCCGAAACTGCTGCCGAACGCCTATATAAAAGCCAAACCTGGACCTCGAGACTAACCCGAATCAACCCACCTTCGACC